TACTCATTGGATAGGAGTTTGGATGACCCCAGAGCCGGTCTGGAAGACGTGGAGAAGACCAAATTCTTGCCCCCACCGAGACTCGATTTCTGACCCCTTGGTCGTCCAGCCCGTAGCCGGTCCCTGTAGCGGCTACTATATCCCGACTCCTCACCTCATGATGGTAACATTCATTAAAATGTGGATGATAAAATATAATCCATGTCATGATGGCGTAACGGGCAGTAAAGTCCCATATGTTTTATGACTCCGTTTCAAAATACAGCGATATTGTTTTCTGACAGCGCCACCGTGAAGGCAAATCTGGCGTTACGGATCGGCTCAACTTAACGTGACATCCGCCCCCCCCCCGGGTACAGGCTCGCACATAAACCCACTATATTGTATGTATATATCAGTATTTGTATATAATAAGCTCCTACGTTAACATAAATCCTTCTACATGTTTACAGCTTTACGCGTCCATCGTCCAGTAAATGAAATATTTTGAGTTGTATTGAATGGCCACTCATAATTATCAAGATAATCACTATCAACTCAAAGGGGTGGCCAAATCCGAGCGTCAGAGCTTGCTAAGCGATTAACCACGGGGATGAGGTCGATAATTTTGCCCCCTACAAGGGGCTCTTTCGAGAAGCTGATGGTCACTTTCATGGTCAAAGATGGGCCACCATTTTCTGAACCCGTGGACGATTAATATTCGCTCACGGAGCTGAGCCTTTCTTGAGAAGCTGCCAATTGTACAGCTACTCAAGAACTTCCCAGCATTTTATAGAACCCGAAGGTTCATTACCGTGTTCACAAGAGCCATCCACCGGTCCCTCTCCTGAGCCAGATCAATCCAAGCCTATCTTTCTAAGATCCATTTGGATCATTATCATATTCCACCATTAAACCTTTATCGTGAGCCATTTGAATCAAGTCCACATCCTCCAATCCAGTGCGTTTAAGATTAAGTTTAATGTTACAGCATCCTTCCTTCTACAATTAGGTCTTAAAAGTGGCCCTTCTCTTCAGGTGTCCAACTAAAAATTTTGTGTTACTTTTCCACTTGTGTACATATCCAGCCCGGCCGCCTCTGTTATCTAGTGGCCAGTGTCCCTGGATACAAATCCAGAGGTCCGGGTTCGATTCCCGACCCTACCAGATTCTTTCAGAGAAGTAGTGTGCCTGGAACTAGGTCCACTCAGCCTCGTGGTGATAATTGAGGAGCAATTTCAAGGCAATAGCGGCTTCGGTCTAGAAAACAGAAATTAACGGCCGTGGGGATTTGTTGCGCTGACCACGCGACACCCTCTATCCGCAAAAGTTGGCACTAAACTTCGCCGACAAGCGCCGGTCGCTCGGTCGGTATAGTTCGCTTGCGGACTAAAATCACGGAGATTGTTTTTTTGCACATATCCCGCCCACTTCATATCCTTTGATGTGATAACTCTAACACTATGCGGTGAGGAATACAAGATAAATACGGTGTAATGTTTCGTAATGATGTCTTATTAATAAAGTGATTGTCTTGATTTTTAGTTAAAACGACGTTTGGAAGACCGGCCTCCGTCTCCTTCCTCGGATATAAAGTTCAGTTAGTTGGACCTCACCAGATGTCAGCCGCCGTGCCGCTGGAACTTGAAGCTCGCTTAAGGCAGGGCTACCACTCCCTGTATTCGGAATATCTCTTGTGAGAGTTCCAACTTAACTACATTTACAGTTCTGTCTTCTGGTATATAACGACGTGTAATCTGGTGAAAGTCCACCAACGTTTCGGAGGAACATGCTATCTGCTACATCAGTAATTATTAGTTTGCCAAGGAAAACAGAGTTCTATGGGCTTAGTGAACGTTAACCCATCTGTCCATTCGAGAATACTTTTTTTCTGGACTTTGTCCATTTTCCGGTATTCTGAATAACACGTTTCGAAAACTGAATCTGTTTCCGTGATCAGGTGAGGAATGGGAAATATCCACTTTTCTGGGTCCGTTAGAAATAACTAACCTGTGTCATTGGACAATCTGTAGAATCTAATGTCAGTCTATTTTCTCATCAGCTTGTTAACTTAGAGGCAAGTTTGATTGCTTTTGGACTGAGTTTATTCCTGTGCCGAAACAGGAGTAGGCCCCGAGTTCAATTTCACGTCCGCTTCTCAATGTACGCCAATTCCCCAAGCAAATAAATAAACTTCTCTCCCAACCCCTGTGTGTTTCGATTATGATCATGCTCTTACCGTAGGACTTCCAATTTCTCTCTACCGTATATTTTATTTATTTATTTATTTCCTTCTCCCTTGCTGAAATGAAATTCTCTATGTTTATTTTACAGTAACGACCTGAAAGGCCACATAAAATGTACAACGATACATGTAACAACCGCACATTGGATCCGTGGTTATTTCTGTGGAAATAATCATGTATCTGTGTTTCTATGCGATCTTTGCACCCGGTGCCAAAAGCTGGAGAGGGTGGGGGTTCATGTCTGTCGATCCTGTTTTTTGCATATTCCCTCTCACAATAAAGGGACCGTGAAAGCTGAGTCGATATAGCAACAAACCGCCGAGTGGACGACTGAGGTTCGATTCCCGGCAGAGGCAGGATATTTTTATCCACACCACAGAGTCCTAACCGGCTCTGGGGCCCACCTAACCTCCTATCCAATGGGTTTCGGGGGCACTTTCCTCGGAACTACAATGACCAGAGTGTGAAGCTAATCACTAATCTCCACCTAATGCAGAGGTCAAGAAAATGTGGACCTATACAACCATTCCTCATACGGCTTCATGACGTAGTGCTTAACTAGTTAAGCATAGGGACAGCTTTACCTTACGTACCTTTAGGTCAATAACTGCTTCATCAAAGGGGGGTTTGCGGGGAACCGCTTTATCTCGGTGAGAAACACACTTTGCCGACAGAAGGTTTTGCCTCACATGGACAGTGTCTTGTGGCACCTCTGTATTGGCCTCATGTTATACATTACAGAGGTGACGTGAGACATTTCAAAGACAAGTAAGATGCTATCATTCACAGCATATCCTTCGGTATTTAATTGACAAGACAGTATAAAAAAAGAACTTACCTCCCCTCTTCATTGGACTTCAGCGTGTTATTAGTTTTAAATGTTTCGGGGATGTACATTTAGATTTAAAAAATTCAGGTATTGTAATATATTATCATGTGTTGGGTATGCGTCACGCGACAAATAACTTCACGCCGTTCTGGATCTAGCGAATTTATTGCACATTCGCTCTTACCCTTATACAATTCACAGTTTCACAATTACTACCATCTGCAGTATCACACTTACTGCTGTCATTCACTCGATAACAATGGACTTCAACGCACTCCGGCGAGTGCTAGACTGAAGCTGGCTCGGCGACTTCACGATCCACACTGTGTCACTCCTGATCACACACACTCACTGCTTACAAACTGCTCAGCCGGCTTTTTATACCGTTCCTTGTCGCATCGTATTACCAGCGGTGTCCCTTTGTTACGTCACAGTGGGAAGTACTGTTACGTCACTGCGGCGGAGGGGGACGGAGTGTTGACTGGCCTGTTACCGAAACAGCGGCAGTTGCTCCGATGTTGTTACATCACCGCTAGAAGGGGTTGTCCTACATAGCGCAAATACGTCACAATATGTTTCAAGCAAATTATTTAACGTTTCCATTAGTATTGATTGGTCCTGAATATGGCGAAATAAGGCCTCAATATGTCAGGCTTTAATATTTTATTATTACTATTTAATAATTTACAAAGTTGATGCATTTGTGGCAGTTTTATACTGTCCCGATTTGGGGTTGCTGCGTGACTTACAGGCGGATTTCGGATTGAATGATTGATTCTACTGACACCTTATACACACAACAGTTTAACTACAGGCAGTACAGCGCTATTGCTGATCTACACACTTTCCAGTTCACCGTTACACACGAAACACTGTTCTCAGTCTTCACTAGTCGTGTCCTGACAACAGATTTATAGCAGTCTCACTGTAACTTCAAATCACACATGAAGTCTTCTTTTCACAGTCTAATTCGACCCCGCCTCCACATGGGTTTCTCGTCTAAGCTATAACAGATACCTGTTATATTAGCTTCACACGTACCACGTAGAAATCATCTTTCATTCTAGAATCCTGTTGTAACGCACTCAACTGAACTTTGTTTACTGGTCGTTGTATAGAAACGGTGATTGTTCTATTGTTGCCTTCTGTGTATTCGGCCGCGAGGTGCTTACCGATTCGTCACAAAGCAACGCTCTGGCCATCCACGTTACAATACCAAGTTTACTTTATTTTACGAAGCAAATGCGTAATGGAAAATTCCTCTAAATAAGTACAGCAGGGAAAGTTGGCTCAAGCAATAACGCTTGAGAATCGCATTCGGCTATCTCCTTATTTATCTTCGTTTAACTGTGCCCAGATTTTGCCAGAAATATCAGCTTTTATCGAGGAACGGGAAGTTGGACTTCAAAATGTCTCTAAAAGTGACTGTGACTATGAACAATGTATTTTTGGATGTGGCGCCGTGTAAATATTGTGTTAACCAACGTTTCGGATGAACGTATCACCTCCATGTTCAGGTAATAATAAATCCGCGAGCAATGAACCAGCGTGAGCAAGTGGCTGCAAACCCTTCCCCTCTCCTCTCTATTGAATTGCCATATGGCCACTCTCCCTTCCCTTCTTGTTTTTATATAGCTGGGTGTTTCTGACTGGCACTCAGTCTGCAGCCAGCTGCTCACTCTGGTTCATCGCTCGCGGATTTCTTTTACCCTGAAAATGGAGGCGAAACGTTCCTTCGAAACGTCGATTAACACAATATCTACACAGCGCCACACCCCAGGAGAGGGCATTCTTTATATGCGATTTGATTCTTTTCGCGGCCGTGAAAATTAAGCCCCTCAAGGCGAACAGAGTCTGTAGCTGTAAGAAGGCCCATAAAGATGCCCCATGGCACTTTAGAGAAACCAACTCTGACAGCAATTTTGAAGACAGGAAGTGACACTTACAGGCCGCGAAATCTTGAAGCTGCTGAAATTCCCCCGGTGACAGCTTATCCCAGTGAAGCGTCATATTACTGATGACGTCACACCACGTCACGTCCGCCGCTCAGTGACGCCATCACCTGAAAAAAAAGATAATTCTTTACCTGTTCATTTTTCTTGTCCTTGTGCCAACGCCCATGCCTTTAGGCCAGGCCGCTCTCGACAGAATTCAGAGCGGACATGGCCGATTCCACTGACTGAGACAGGAATTGTACCGTGTGTATGGGTTATAAGGCCGATGACAGTGGCCGCGCGGGCTAAGGCACGAACCGTCTTCGCCCGCTCGAACCCTGGGATCGTGGGTTCGAATTCCACCTGAGGCATGGATCTCTGTGCGTTTATTCTGTGTTTGTGTTGTCCTGTGTGTGGGTAGCGTCCTTGCGGATGGCTGGGTCCTACCGACTGTTTATAGGATTGAGGGCGGTAACGCATTAGGATGCCAACGGGAGACCATGGCCCAGCTGCCAGCATCTCGGCCAAACTCAGTGTAATAATTTAGTAGTCATACGTGTATATCGCACCTGGCATCCGTCTGGCAGCGCTGCCAACCAAGATGCCAAGTGCTAATGCTGCTGGCATCGCTGCCACGAAGGCAAACGCCAAATCAACATCACACGACAGGCTGAGGCTAGTCCATTGACGTACGTGCGTGTATATGTGCTTGCGTGTGTTTCTCTTTCCTTCAAACATTTCCAAATTCGACATCGAAAGATTTATAATCGAAATTCGGTCCCGAGCATCCGGCAGCTGGACGCCATGGCCTCGCTGTTGGTGTCGCTGCCATGGCATCCTAGTGTGATACTGCCCTAAGACAGTGAAAAGCGGCCAAGGTCCTAAGGGCTGTAGAACCATAGAGAGTGTGGTTTACAATAGGGCCTTAGTGACCACGCGACACTCTCGATCCCTTCAGCTACAGATATTACCCCACTCCTTCTGGCCATATCTCTCCCCACTCACAGTCCAGAGGCCAAGACTAAAAACACGGTCTGTGTACGTAGAGTCCCAGCACAGAGGAACACCAAACGTATGCTCGGAAATACGAGGGTCTGGACAGGATAATGCTCTGCTGTTTTCTCTCTTAAGTAACCGGCAGTCATGCTTATATATAAAAAAAGTAAAGGTATCCCTGTAACAGGTCTTGGAGGCCCATAGGGTTGTGAGATGTTGAGGTTCCCACATTTTCTAGACAATCGGCTCATAGATGGCGGTAAGGTTGTCAGCTCTACGCGCTGGCAGCCCTTTACCACCTAGAATATTCCTGGTACTCATTTCTGTTAGATGCTGAGTCGACCCCAGGGCCATAGTGCGGCTGGAAGAATTAGGTAATTTGAAAAAAAAACAATGACCTCATCGAGATTCGATCCCGCGACCTTCCGGCTTGTAGCATAGTGCCTGAACAAACTACGCTACCGCGTGCCCCCATGCTTATACATTACATATAATATTACTGTACCTGGGGCGTTTTCTCCAGTGTTCATGGCGTGAACGCATGCGACAAGAATTGGACTGATTTTGAACCCAAGTCCGTTTACTTGTTATCACATTCTCCATGTAGTTCTGCAGCTTGTTCTCTACGACTTGTGCTTGAAGAACTTTTTTCACCCAACACCAGATCCTAGTCGGGTATTTTTAATAGCAATTATATTTTATATCCTTTTTTTCTCTGTATGAATGTAAGTTAATTGTAGATATCAGATAAATGTTGTAGTTGAAGAATTAGGTTGCGATATGGCCAGAAGTCGTATTTGTATTGTTGATGTGTAAAGTTGGTAACTGTTTGCGGCACTGGACATAATATAGAAGGCTGTGTAAATCATTACGAGCGCAGTGGAGAACTTTATTCTGTGTAGTTTCTCAGTTGACTCATTATTACGAAACGATCGGAGACTGCAAGACAAAGGGGGTTCCCGTAAATTACTGCAGGGAGGCGAACTGCTGCTGCCACCTGTGAAGCCAAAGAGAAGCATCCTGAAAAGTGTTATAAATCTCAGCTCCAAAGGAATAATAATACTTACGTGCTAGAATAACAAGCAAGTCCATCGGGTTTACGCATTCAATTGGAGACTGTTGCTGAAGGAGTGTTTATTTCTCAGTGGGTTAATTTTACATTATAAGAGCAGACCTCAGTAATGAGAAAGTAATATGGCTTCTCACGATATTTAACGAGGCTGCATCACCCAAATGATAGGTATGCGGAAAATGGTGAATAGCTCAGGACATATATGAAAGGAAATGACGAATTTCACATTGAGTTATAATTATTGTCCCTACCGAGGGCATTTACTAAAATGGTAACGTCTCTGACTTGTATTCGGGAGGTTCACAGTTCGAATGCCGTCCCGGACATAGACTGACTAGACTGAGGTTTCATTACCTCCAGGCAAGTGATGAGCTAATATTGTGACAAGTCTGCTGAACGCTAGAATTGCGAAAGCAGCAGAGACAGGCGTTGCTGTAAACATGTACGTCACTAGGTAGTGGCTCAGTAGCCTTCATGTGAAGGTCTCAACAAACACGCATACAACAACAGAAGAGGTGTTTTCTGTGCGGTCCGTGCGGAGGATATATAACGAAGAGCAGCTGGCATTAGCAGTCAATCAGTCCGAGTAGAGTCCGAGTCAAGAGTCTAGAGAAGAGTCGAGAGAGAGAGAGAGAGAGAGTCTGCAGGCAGACTGTTGAGAGTTGCAAACTTGTATCTGAGGCCCGGAGACAGTTCTGGAACCCAGATGAAGGTTGAAAGATGTTACCAAGCAGTGCAGTGAAGACCGTGTGTGGTCACAAGTTGTGTGTTCAAGTGTCCAATAAATCCGATTACCAATCCGAACCCAGTCTGTAGTCAGTCCATCACGTGAGAGTATCATAATTACTCAGACTAAGACCGCTTCCTTCCACATCAATTTCATTTCATTGTTCATTATTATTCAGTCACCCGACGCTATTTGCTTTGAGCTACTTGAAATCCTCATTAAATAAGCAACACTTAAATACTTCTTTTGGCTTGTTTTGGACTTCATCCATCGTCTGGTATGTAAAAGACAAAAGACCACTCAATCACTATACAAGACTAGCTCTTTCTAACGGGCCCAACTGAGTAGGTTTATCCTGCCCTACCCACTTGAGGACGGAGACAGATCAAGTCTCCGAAACGTTGTGGTCTTTTACATACCAGACGATGGATGAAGTCCAAAACAAGCCAAAAGAAGTACAGTACACACCATCCTTCAGAATCCTTTAAATTCAACACTTAAATACTTGAGTTAATTTTGGTGCATTCCTGTAAGAAACATAAGTGAGCTACAGACAGGCTGCAAAGTCACTTCCTATTGGCTTGACGGGCATTAGTGTTCCGAAAAGGGTTTTTTCTTGGTTTGGGGTGAGACTGAGTCCACCTGTTACGTCGGCCACTAATTGACCCATTGTACTAGCCCCGGATGATAGATGATGAATATGAAGTAGTCAGTTGAATGAGAACTAACAGGAGGAACCCAATAACCAAGATAATACCTGCCTCAATTCCACTTTGTCCACCACAAATCCCACATAATCTGGTGGATCGAACCCAGGCTGCCTCGCTGGAAAACTAGCGACTAACCGCCTGAGCTATGGTGCGGCCTTCTGGAAGGTTACTAATGACCTTATAAGATAATACCACATATGTAGGCATATTAAAGAAATAAAAATATATACTAAGGTAAAGATCAAGTTTTATTTGTGTTTAATTAAGCATCACTCCTTTAGGACACAAGGAAGGGCGATAACGCTTGATATATTTTTAAATTCGACAGTGGATAGAGGTGAGTGGCCGGCTTCAGTCCCCGCACCCCTTTAACCCCGGTTCACATTTCGTATGGGACAGGGTTGTCTTCATACCCTATCTGGGTGACGTACAATATAAGTCCCTGCCAGGAATCAACTTGAGCAACTTTGAGCAACTGCTCAGTCAAGTTAATAAGTGGCAGTGATATCCCTCGAGTACTGTGTGGCAATGGGTCACAGAAACATCTACTTCTTATCATTTTAAATTGTAAAGTATTCCTTCTGTAATGCAGGAAAGTCAGTCAATTATTAAAACACATTGAAATATATTTAATTCAGTAAAAAGTGTTTGTTAAATATTTTAAAATATTATTAAGTATGTACATTCGTTCTTGTTACAAGTTTCGGCCGCACATGGACCATCATCAGGCAACTCATTAGTTGTGGAGACCACTGCACTCTACACTTTGTCTTCTGTGCTCTTAGGCATATTCGATTTATTATTGTTGTTGTTGTTGTTGTTGTTGTTGTTATTGTTGTTGTTAATTTGCTTCGTAAATATTTTCATCCTATCTTTTTTAGCGGCCATTTCAATGTTCCTTTTTAGTGTGTCTTTCACTTTAGTTGTACGTGTTTTAGTGCTGTTTGTTTCCTGACTGTATGCCAAGGGACTTTTTGTAGATTTTGAAATATCATGGGATTCTTGCAAAATCTGTATATTGCTTTCCGTTAAAGCAGTTTAATTTAAAGTGTCCATTTGATGGTCTCTTACATCTGCAACGTAGGCGGATAGTCTGACCTTGAGGAATGCAAATGTGCCACGTGTCGTTTTTCTTTCTACGTAAACTGATTTAATTAGACACTAAACCTATATATTCCACTCGTGAATTTTCTATAGAACGTAAGGAGATGTAGACCGCCTCTATAGTCTAGTGGTCAGAGTTCTTGGCTAAAGATCCAGAGGTCCCGGGTTCGATTCCCGGCGCTACCAGATTTTCTGGGAAGTAGTGCGTCTGGAACGGCATTCACACAGCCTCGTGAGGATAATTCAGGAGCTATTCCAAGGATATAGCGGCTCCGGTCTAAAAAACCGAAATTAACGCCCTTGGGAATCCGCTACGCTGACCACGCGACACCCTCTATCCGCCAGAGTTAACACTAACTTCCCCGATAAGCGGCGGTCGCTCGGTCGGTATAGTTCTCTTGCGGACTACAGGCCACGGAGATTTTTACGTAAGGAGATGGAACCATTATGAATTCAACATTCTGCCAATTGTGTTCAGCATTTACAGACTCAAAAACAAAAGAAGCAAGACCGTAGGAA